TTCTATATTTACAGCTATATTCATGAAAACAAAAGAAGTATGCCCCATAAACCATTTGGGCAGCAGTTAAATAAATAAATGCATGTCCAAGAAAAAATAAGCAGTGCTCATTAGAAGACTGCAAAGATGGTGTCGCCTGTGTGGTATACCTTCTTGAAAGCAGAGGAAGTGCTCGGCATGACACAGCAGTAGAGCTTGCTTTCTTCCCCCTTGCATCATCCTTCTAGATGATTCCTTCCATGGCTTCCCACTTCAGACATTTTTACCATAATTGACAATAATTGGTGTTCCTAGAATGATAAAATGTCAAAGACAGTCCAAGATTCCATGATGTATGCATAGAGCCATAAATTTGACAAAGGTCCTACTGAGTAATTTTAAGAGAGAATGTATTTCACTCTGTCTTTTTTGTTAATGTTGTCTTTGGAAGACTTCTAAAAATGAGTAAAAGTCATGAAATAGCATTCCTTGCAAATAGAACTGCAGAGAGAGAGAGAGAGGGAGGGAGGGAGGGAGAGAGAGAAAGAGAGCGAGAGAGAGAGAAAGAGACAGAATAAAACCCTCAAAAGTTCCTGGGGTACAATAAGGGTTAAATTACATTAAGGGATTTCATCATTTACGTAAGACTTCCAAAGGCAGCTCATTTGGAAAACAAGCCCCACAAAAGACTTCTCTGAAATCCAGCATAAGTCCCAAAGCCAGCCAGAAGGAGTGCCACCTCATCCCAGCACCATGGTGTCCCTTCTGGCCTCAGCTTCAGAGGCCAGGTAGCCCCTTGCTTGGGATATTTTTTTCCTCAGAGTTTGTCTGATCACACAGAAGGAAGAGAAAGCAATGCCCCAAAGAAAACAGTGGGAGCTTCTGGGTGCTGCTCAGGCTTTGGGATGAAGTCTTAACACAGCTCAGTCCACAGGCTTGATGTTCACTGTCTTCTCATGTTATTCCAGTAAATGGATCCACTGAGGGATACAGTGTCCTTATTCTCTGAGACTTTAAAAAATCCCTTTGTATCATTCGTATTTCTGGCCAATCATGAATGGCTTGACTACTGATTGATGAGAAATGCCAAGCTCACAACTGTGCTGTGTTCCAGCTCTCTGAAAGCTGGTTAGGGAACTCAGCATCTATTTCCCCCACAGCGTTGCCCAAACTAGCCATGAACTCTTGGGTTCAAGCCATCCTCCTGTCTCAGTCGCCCAAGGAGCTGAGAATAAAGGCGTGCAGCACTGTGCCCAGCTAAAATAATATTATAAGTGGTCAGTTTCCAGGCCAGACCCAAAAGCCGTCTTCACTGGGATGCTGAAGACCTGGCCTTTTACAGGAAAAGGGAGCAGAAAACATTTTGAAGACGTATTCATAAACTAAACCAAATCTGAAAGATTTAGTCTCCTTTAATTCGAAAGCCTGGTCAACAAAGCAACCAATAAAAGAGGATGAAGACTTTTAAGGGGAGACTTCTGTTTATGAGAATTTGAGGAGCCTGACACAGCAGTTTGTCACTTTGTCCAGTTTTAACCTCTAGCCATTTTTTCCCCATTTTCCTTCCTACAAGTATGAAACAAGCAGTGTACACAAGAAGGAGGAGATGGGGGAAAGATGGGCAATAAAAATGTTTGAAAGAGATGTCCTTCCTTGAGGGTATGGAGTTAAATCATAGCCCTGTGAGAACTGGCTGAGCCAGGGTGAGCTGGTGAGGAAAATGTGAAGAATAGAAGAGACAACAGGACATCCAGTGTTAGAGACCCTTGACCAGGTGGAAGAATTGAGTCCACTCTTTGGCCAGACAATACCCTTTCTGGCCATAAGGTGGTGCCATAAGCCCAGCCAGTCTGCCCCAATAGGCTGGGGCATGCAGAGGGCGGAGCTCCCCAGTGTAAACCATGCTCCCCACTCAACCTCTGGAACCTTCAGGAAGTCTGTACTAGAGACCTGTGTCAACTTGTAATCACTGCCTCAGTGGACTAGAATGATCCCTTCCACTAGGGCCCCACCTGCTCACACGGGAGCAAGGTTTCCTTTTGTCTGCTGACACCACAACCCACATGGAGAGTTCAACCCATCCCTTTGCCCTCCCTTCATCTTGTTCCAAATGCCCATACCCTTCCCGCAGCCTTCTCTGAGTCCTAAAGGGAACCCAAAGAGCACCCTGCACTGCATCTTTAGATACCTGCAAGGTGATAGATAGATCCCCACAGACAGCACAGATTTGGCAGCATGGCACTAGCCAACTAGCCAGCCTGCTCTCCCTCTTTAGCACCAAACTGGACAACCTCATTCCTGACACAAAACTCACAGTGTTCCCTCTTCTTGTGTTTTGCCTCCACAGAAACATCATTCCCCTTGCCTCCACTTGGCAATACCCTCCTCTAGCTTTCAACCCAAACACTTCTCTCTCCAAAACCTTCACCCTTGCACCTGATTGAGGGTGACTGGTCTCATGTCACAATCTGGATGTTACAGACAGAACAGATCTCAGCAGTTACATGTCCCAAACTGTCCACAGACACTGGAACCGCAGGTCAGCCCCAGCTGACCCTCCTTGTTCCTCTAAGTTTTTGTTCCCATTTAGCATGGGCATTAGGTGTAGAGAAGCGCCATAGTTCCAACCTGGATGTGCTGTGCAGTGCCTGGGCTCAATTCATGCTAGCTTTGTAAGTGTTATCTACTGTCCCCAGCCCATGCCACTCATCTGACAAACCCAACCTGAGGGACTGATGAGCTAAAGGAATCTGCAGGGAAAAGGGGATGGAAACAAAGACACCCGTGTGTGCCACATCCTTCTCCAACCTCATTCTGCCCTGGGCCCACAACCCAGAGGATTGCCCAGGAAACGTCCCAGTGACTCTGAAGCCCTGATGAGATGGAGTGGATGAACACCCTTGGCTGGTGCTTCTGTCTGGGTCACGTGGTCCAGAGACAACCTTCATGAAGGGCCGCTGTGTGTGCTTACGGCACCACGCGTCTAGCCACTGTGTAAGCGACAATTCTGCTCAGATGGGAACCGTGAAATTCCTTTGAAAGTTGGAGTAAAAGCCTCAAGATGATTTTTTTTAAACCATGCAGGTTCTCTGAGGGCAGGTGCAGGGCCTCACTGCAACAGGACAAGGTGGGTTTCTTTCTACCGCCTTCAGTCTCCAAATTCTGATTCTCTGGTGCCACTTCTGTCATGGAAAAGGCCACAGAGGTCTGCCCAGCTCTGAAGTTAATTAAGTAAGGCTGAGGGCTGCTTGATTCTCCCAGGAAATTTTCGACATGAAAGAGTTGGGGGGGGGGGTAGACCACAAGCAAGGTGGCCAAGGAGGATGTCCACCACCTTCCTCAAAGGATGAATAAGGAAGTCACTGCTATTAGTATCATGGGCACGAGTGGCCAGTTTCTTCCCGCCATCGAAGACTAAGACATTCGAAGCGACCATTTCCTCGGGGCCCGAGAGATGGGGAGGTACTATGGACAGAAGCTCCAAGCCGCCCTGCCCCTGCAAACCCCATCCCAAAGGCGCCTTCCCATCTCCACCTGTTTTTCCTCTGGTCTGAAGCAGCGGTCACCCTGACCCCCAGCCTCCGCAGTCTCCTCGCTGGAAGGCAGCTGGCTCCCAGGAAAGTTGAGCGACAGCAGAAAAAACAACCTGCGCGCCCATCTCTGCAACCCCTCTCTCAGGCGAGCCTCTCGTAGGCGCTGAAGAGGCAGAGAGTGCGCCTCGCTACGGAGGCCCAGGGTTGCTGTCGCCGCGGGCGGTGGGTGATGAAACCTCCCAGGCGCATTGCTGCAGAGTGCGCGGGCGAGCGCGGAGTCGGGCAAGGACGTGGGTTGAGAGCTGGTACCCTGGCTCACCTGTTCTCCAAGACTAGGGTGGGGAGTGCGGGGGAGGGGCAAGTACCGCCAATACCGGATGAGGGCCAGGTGGCGCTAGGTGGCAGCGCTCGCCTCTCCACCCTCCTCCAACCAAGCTAGCCCACCGAACTAAGTCGTCGGGTTAACGAGGCCAAGAGCAGCAGTTCCTGTCCCGGGCCGGCGCGAGGAAGACGTGAGCGTGCACACGTACACACACAGCAGGGGGAGAGGCGCTCGCAGCGGCGCCCAACTTTCTCCCTGCTTCCTCCAGCAGAGGAGATAGCAGCTGAGGGCGATCTGATTCCCATTTAGGAGGGGGGCTCCAAAAGGAGAAGAGATGGAGAGACTGTCCCGGGACTTTGGAGTTTTTGCTTTTATTTTTTGCATCAGAGGGCTGAGTAGTAAAGGAAATCCTTAGCTGGGCCGAGTGACGCTTAGGAAAAATGGAAGCGTGTGTTTGGAGATGCCTAAAGTTGCCTGTTAAGCTCCGGCCTCCAGAGCACGCGATGCTCCGCGGCCGCCTGACCCAAGGCTGCCTGGGCCTCCTAGCGACCCGCCAGGAAATGATGCAAGTCTGGGTTGTCACCTGGATCCCTGAAGCCCAGACAGGAATCCGTCTGGGTTGGGGGAGGGGCGAGACAAGACATCTCAGGTGTTTCAGGACCCACCAAATCCGGGCAGAAAAAAAAAAGTGGGAGGTGGACTGTCTCTCCGGCCAAGTGCTTCAGGGTTTTGGCGCCTGTCTTCAAGTGCCTGTTTTGTAAATGCCAAGAGTCATGACGCTTAGGGATGCCCATCAGAGCTCAATTTGCTCGCACCCTCTCTGTGCCCAGGTATCTGTTCCAATCTATCCAGGCCTCGGGGCTGATAATGTCACTGAGTTCCAAAGAGGAAACTTTCCCAGCCGAAAGCACTGAGGACGCTGTCCCAGTAAAGACCGACCCTCCCCGCCCTATCCCACCCCGTTTTTTAGTTTTTTTAGCTGCAACTGGAGCTGGCATCGGCTTTGATTTTTTTTTCTCAGTCCGCTCGGCCATTGCCCCGGAGCACCCGCACACGCGCACGCGTCTCAGGCCGCGCTCACACACACGCACGTAAAAGCGTGGCCGCCGCCAGGTCGGCAACTTTGTGGGGCGCTCTCCGCGGCTCTCCGCTTCCTCCCGTAGTAGTTGGCGCAGGCCCCGCCTCCCGGCTGTGTTGTCAAACGGGCCGGGGTCTCGGATTGGTCCAGCCTCCGGGACAACACCTGCTCGACTCCTTCATTCAAGTGACACCAGAGCTTCCAGGGATATTTGAGGCACCATCCCTGCCATCGCCGGGCACTCGCGGCACTGCTAACGGCCTGGTCACATGCTCTCCGGAGAGCTACGGCAGGGCGCTGGGTAACCTCTATCCGAACCGCGGCGAGGAGGAGGGAAGGGGCGAGCGAGGAGGAAGAGTGGGAGGAGGGGGAAGCGGCGGAGGAGGAAGAAGAGGAGGAGGGGCGCACAAAGAATCCAGGTCTCCCGGAGGGAGGGTGATACCCAGAACCATGTGTGCGGAGCGGCTGGGCCAGTTCGTGACCCTGGCTTTGGTGTTTGCCACCTTGGACCCGGCGCGAGGGACCGACGCCACGAACCCTCCGGAAGGTCCTCAAGACAGGGGCTCCCAGCAGAAAGGCCGCCTGTCCCTGCAGAACACAGGTAAACGCGTGCGCCCTGCAGCCGGGAGCTGCCGGGGAAACGTCGGTGGCACGCCCGCGGCGCTCCCGGTGTGTTTAGCCCCAGCCCAGCGACCCGAGCTCACCCCGGGCCGCGCAAACTCTTGGTGGCTCGGGACTTGCAGAGGGACGAACGAGGAGAAGCGAGGTCTGGGCCGGGCTCCGAGCGCCCAGAATCCGCACGTGCTAGTAGGGTGATGAAATAGCTGAGGCAGGACTTGTTGCTACTCTCCCCCGGGGCTGAGGGGAAACGAGGCAGCGCTTGATGCTGCCAGCTCCAGCCAGAGTCTCGGGCCCTGCGCAAGGCGCACTTTGTCCAGGCTAACCCATGCGAGGCACCGAGGGTCCCAGGAACCGGGCTCGCCCTGCGCCCAGAGAACTTCTCTTCCAAGCTGGCCAGCCTGGCATAGGCTGTCTCCCCTTCCTTTAAAGACTGCTGGACATCCCAGAACTTTGCTGGCCAGTTAAATGGCATCAAGAAGTTTCCCTTTGGGGGAGGGGGTTCACAAAGCGTGCCTCTGTGGTGCTGCGGCGGGCCCTTGCTCCCAGCCAGGATAGCAAGGGGAGAAATGTTGACACGACCCAAATCGTGCGCCGGCCCTGCTCACCGGCAAGCTGCAGCGCAGAGCCTGGCGTGCGGCACACGGGCTGGCCTTCTTCCCAGCTCCCGGGAGAGAAAGAAACGTGTCTGCCGCTCGGCACCTTGCTCATGCCCCCACCCCCGCTATTCCTCCTCCCGGGCCGTGTGAACGCCGCCGCCGTGGCGTGCGTGCGCTCCTTGCCTGAGCCGAAAAATGCATGTCAGGGGCGCCCAAGTGAGTGATCGCTGTCCTGCCCGCGGCCACGCGTGCAGTCAGTTCAGCCTCTCGCCAGCCCTGCCCCCCTTTTAGATTTAGGTGCCCCTCCACAAATACACGCCCCTCACTCTCCATAGATTTCATCTGATGCTGATTTTTCGACTCGAGCCCCGCCCTTCCTCCAAAATACACTTTCCTAGCGTAATTTTGCGGTTGGTTTAAAACGTAGAACTCATTGAGTGAGCCGAAGAGGGCATGAGACTGCACTCCTGCAGCCTGACAGCTCCCAGTCTTTCCTTTCAGGCTGATGAATTAGGACATCTTGGAAGAAGTAGCAGGCTCCGGGCCCTCGGGCCCTCGGGGCATTCTAGGGGATTAAGTGATATCTCACACCAGATCCCTAATTAAAAGGAACCTCCAAAGGGAATGGTGGCGGGTGGCAAGGCCAGCCCCCACCTGCTTTCATTCTGAGGCTGTTTTCAGCCACAGCCTCCCTGGCCCTGGCATTTTTAATGCGGGTGGTTTGGAGGCACGGCTTTAATAGGAATCTTGTTTTGATTTTTAGGTGTTGAATCATAAAGCTGAATTGAAGTTGTCAGGAAGGAAATGGCAGGATCTTAAAGGCAGTGGCTTCTGCAGCCCCAAGTAGAGAAAGTCATTTAATTCATGAAATTCGGCCTTTTTAAAATCTTACCTTTTCCCTGTGGGTTTCAAAAGCTGAAATATTTTCTGCTCTTAAGCTGAGTATTCTCACATATACTTTCATAAAGTGGAAAAGAAAGGGGCAGGGAGAAAAATGCTCATACTAACTTCTGACTATGATAGTTGTTATTTTGAGCTAATTTTACAAAAATTTATAAATACCAACTCTTTATAAGTAGTAGTAAATAATGACATGTTATTTCCCCCACCCCTTAAATTCTGAAATTGGCACAACTTTTTCCCCTTTAATTTCTCTAGCCCTTACTGTTAATTTTTTTTCATTTTAGCGGAGATCCAGCACTGTTTGGTCAATGCTGGGGACGTGGGGTGTGGCGTGTTTGAGTGTTTTGAGAACAACTCTTGTGAAATCCGAGGCTTACATGGGATTTGCATGACTTTTCTGCACAACGCTGGAAAATTTGACGCCCAGGTAAAACATACAGCATGAAAAATATTCTGGGTTGGTGTAGCATGGTTGAAATCTTGGCTGAAGGACTTGCTCCTGAACTGTTATTTGAAGTGGTTTGGTACTTGAAGGTGTAGAGAAGGGCACCAGTGTCTGCTTTGTGCCATTGCTTGGCTTTGTGGACTTGCCATTAGGTCAAATCCTTCTAAATTCTTGAGCTGTAACTGCATAGGCAAAGCAGGCTAGACACTGAAGTCATAGCCCTTGACAAACACCGTGTCCAAACAACAAGAACCCGGTCCCCAAAACTGTATTAGGAAGAGAAGACTGAAGTGTCAGGGTCTCTAGCTACAGGTAGCAAAGGCTCTTCTAGTGTATACGTGGGCAAGCAGCCTAGATAATTCACAGCCTCCAAACAGCATGGAAGAGGCTCATCTCTCAGCCCGAAAAGTCAAAACCCTGACTGAATCTCACTGTCTTATAGTCAGAGCTGAATTCACCTCAGACTCCCAAGGTAAAGTTGAGTTGCTGCCCAGGGCAAGCTGATGGTTCTGGCACAGAGGAACCAAGTGTGTGTTAGATGGCATGTAGCACTAGGCTCCTCTTCATTTTCTGCTCCGGCTCTCAACCCCGTTGTTATATCTCATAAACTTCCTCTACCATTTCATTGGAGCATGATGACTAAGTTTGGAGGAGGCCAACAGTTGAGGTGTGATTTAGACACACCACCAGTCACCATCCACTGACATCCTGTGGATAACCTCACAAAGCAAGGCCTGGAAACCAGAAAGGGATGTGACAGGGCGGCAGCCTAAACTGCAGAGGATATGATGTATCCAGAAGGGGAAACAGAAATGGAAGGAAAGAGGGAGAACTTTGAACTCCTTGCGGCTCCTTAGAAAAGCACCCCCCTCAGAACCAACTGGAGCTAGGACACACAATAGGAAATCCGGAAGAGAGGAGTGTATTGGGGGCCTTCCCACAGGATGTCAGAGAAGAATACAAAAAAGAAAAAAAAAAAAAAAACAGATTGCCACAGCCCTCACATAAATCCATCCTCCAACCAATAGGAGCATGTTCTCAAGTTAGAGGCATCCCTTTCAAGTCATGTCTCGGTGTATAACTACTTAATAAAGTGCCAAGTCCTGCTTGCCACCCCATCTGGCTCCAGCTAGAACATCAAAGAAAAGGGGGTACCACAGGGAAGGTGTGTGTGCCACGTGGGTTTGCAATCATCAGACACTATTTGTAGGCATTTCTGAAGAGAAAACCAAAATAAATAAATATACTGGTTAGCTTCCCATTCCCGACCTAAAATGGTTCACTTTCTCAACTCAGTGATTTCCAAACCTGCCTCAAAACAAAACAAAAACAGGTTATCTTCAAAAAGCTTATTTCCACAGTAATTGAAGGGAGATTGCTGGGTAGATACCCAACAATGCCTCCAGGCCAGGGAAGTTGAGGTTGATAAGAGTAAAATCAGGAGCTTGCCCCCACATCCTGACAGCCATCTCCTTTCTGGCCTTGGCACAATTGCCTGAGGTTGGAGAGCTGGGGCCACATGTAGCCTGCCTAGCTGCATCACCCCCCTGAGACAGCAGGGGGGATGCTATTTGATGCTTCTGTCCCATCCGCATGTTGCCATACTGGATGCCAGGTGGGCCTTTTGGAAACCATAATCCTAACAGTTTAAAAGCAAAGAATGTTCCTCCTGGAAGCATGAGAAGAGGAGACAAGACCATGAGCACTGCAGCTAAATGGGAGGCTCCAAAAGCACCACTTGCCAGGGATGGAGAGCAAACAAGAAGTGTGCTCTTGTTGGTACTGGCAAAGGAGTCATAGCCCAATCCACTGGTGTTCCAGGGAATTTGCTACCAGGCAGTCACCACCCAGCTGCATGGAGGATGCCCCAGTTCCAGGGAAACTAGAAGGACAACTGGGGAAGTGAGGCAGATCGGTTGGTGTATAGAGCTCACATCCCACTTGGGCCTGATGCCAGGGATGCCAGGTCATCTGGGATGTAGCCTCCTACCTGGAACCACATCAATCTGAGTGGAACCTTGGTACTCTGAGATCAAACACTCTTGTGTAAGCCTAAGACTGGTGTGTGCCATCCTGGCTAGTGACAAAATCTTGTCTCCTCTGCCCCCTCCCTTTTGTGTTCTCCATCCTCAGGGGAAGTCATTCATCAAGGATGCCCTGAGGTGCAAGGCCCATGCCTTGCGGCACAGATTTGGTTGCATCAGCAGGAAGTGTCCGGCAATCAAGGAGATGGTCTTCCAGTTGCAGAGGGAATGCTACCTCAAGCATGATCTGTGCTCAGCAGCACAGGGGAACATCGGTGTGATTGTGGAGATGATAAATTTCAGGGACCTTCTACTGCATGAGTGAGTAACACCCCTATCCCCAGGAGAACAGGAGGAAAGGTCGCCTGGCAAGGGTGGGGTCCTGGGGGCCGGGAATGCGTTTGAGGATGCTACTTTTGGAGGTGAACTCCCTTCAAGTGGATACAGTTGTGGTGTGTCCCAGAAAGCTAGAAAGCCCCCGAAATTCATCAGATTTGAAATCCCCACAAACAGACCATTATTTTTACTAAGTACAAAATAACTACCATCAGAGAGAAGCACTCCATCCTCCCCATGGCCAAGTCCTGATCGGTTGCTGCGTGATTAGAGTAGCTCATGGGTGTTGATAGAGCAGCTGGTGCATACTAACATTTACCTGCCTATAGGTGCTAGGTACTATGCCAAGTGTGTTACATGAAATGTCCACCCAGTCCTCACATCAACCCTTTCTATCTCTAAATCCTCACCACAGAAGAGAAAACTGAGCCCTGCTGAGGTGAAGGACTCACAGTTAGGGTGAAGCAGAGCTAGGGGCTGGGGTCCAGGCAGTGTGGCTACAGCACCCTCGCTCTCAAAGGCTCCAATCTAATCAGCAGCTTTTCCCAGTTTCAGAGCTCCCCATTTCCTTCTCTATCCACAGAAAGCATAAAGCAAACATCAGAAACTTTAGTTGGCTAAATATGCTTGCTAAAATGGACTTAAAGAGTCACGATCTGATGATAGGGCCAAACCATCCATTCCTTGATGCTTACCCCAGCTGTAGGATCCTGGATTTGCAGAGCAGTAAAGCATACTGATGCACCATTGTTTCCAACATGCATTGTGGTCCCCAGACCCCAAAGACAGAGACATAGAACAAAAAGGAAGCCACCAGTTCAGCAGATCAGTGCTCACCACTGCCCCCTTTATAGCTATCTCCATCCTCCATGGTGACCCATTGGGCCAAATCAGCACAATTTTATGGACTTTCATCCCTCAGTTCATTGCACAACCTTCTCCCAGTTGTGCCACCATGCCACCTTCGAGGCGCTAGCGCCTAGATTATGAAACAGCTATCTCCTCTCCCTGCCCGCTCAGCTTAAGGCCTTTGGCAGCTTGCAGCACCCTGGTACGATATAGAATTAATTCGTGGTGAAATTTATTCTTCCAAATATTTACAAAGGAACAATAGCATTGACAATAGTAATTGTCTTTTATTTCTCTTTGGTGTGCCAGGACCTCGGTCATGGGCTATCTATCCATGGACTACCACGTTTGTCTTTCCCAACCAACTACAAGATTGAAATTAGCATCTCCATTTCACAGAGAAGGCTAGTGAAGCTGAGAACCTAAATTTCTTCCTTGTGAGATTTGATTCCTGCTTTGCAGCCTGGGGTTGGTAGTGCACACTCTTCTCTCACTATACACAGGGGGTTCAAGGACCTCCCATCCACATCCATATCCATGAATGAGGAAGTCTCAGATAAAATGATGGAGTATTTGCACATGACTTAGCATCCTCCCATCTACTCTGGATGACTTAGAATACCTAGAGACAATGCAACTGCAGTGTAAGTGGTTGTTAGTCTACAGCGCTTAGGAAATAACATCAAGAAAAAACATCTGCTTCAGAACAAAGGCAGGTTGCTTCCAAAACACTGATCTGTGGTTGCCCAGTTGAATCCACAGGCACAGAGCTGTGTATAACTGAAACTTCATGTGAGGACTAGGCCAGTGGTCACAATGCCAGCTGCCCTGCTCCTTCCTGACCTGTTCTACTAAGGCTTCATGAGTCTTCATATATGACGAGTGCTTCTTCCTTTTCCACTGTGAGAATCTTGTCCTTCAGGTGCTCTTGAGAGAGGCACCTCTGTGTCAGTGGCATATGTAAGGTCTTGAGGATGGGAGATTGGGAGCCCACTATAGACCTATGGAGTATGTGGAGTGTGAGTATCTTCTGAAGAAGGGTCTTTGGGAAAACTGAAGCCTTTTAAGTTTGGGGAACACACACCCCATCCTAGAATTTAGGAAGGGTTAGAGCACTGTGGTATCTAGTGTCTCTTCCACAGGAACATGGCCTCCAGGCCAGGGACTCTTGTTTCACAGGTCCCCCACACCAGTTAGAATGAGCCGAAGCAGCCAGCACTGGCCTGTTCTGCAGAAGCAGGTGGCCCACCCTGTGCAGAGGTGTTGGTGTCTTAACATTGCCAGGAGGCCACATGCAGGGCCTCCTCCTCCTGCTAAGCCAGGACTTCTGGGCATTAAGTTTGTGCCAAACTCCAGCTCCTTGAAAACCTCTGTTCCCATTGCCACACAGCGATGCAATGCCCCAGCTTCAACTTCAAGCTAAATTGCCTGAACTTTTCCAAATATTTAAGCAGCTTAACTGATTAAAGGATCCTTTCAGTCCCAAAAGTCCAAGAAAGCCATCTCATAGTATGTGGCAATAATCACAAACAGGAGAATGTGAGCCAGATTTGCCTTTCGCTTTAAGGAGGAGGAAGTCAGTCGCTGCAGAATCCAAACCACCCCATTCCTCCACAATGCTTGTGCCAGGAGCAGGGATGGCAGTAATGTCCAATCGGCTGCAAGCTGCCCCTCTCACCGCTGCCTGTCCACCCCACTCTCTCCTTATTATCTACCTCCCCCTAGCTGTGGCCAGCCTCCCTTGGCCTCTGCACACCCTGTCACCAGGGTACTGGCAGCCACCAAGGGTTGGGAGCCTCAAGCACATCCCCCTCCCTCAGCCTTGCTGACACTCAATTGAGTGCTGGGTTTTGTCATCTGACAGGCTCAGCCTGCAGCCTAAGAAGGCACCATGCCAACCCAAAGCACGGCTTAGATTAATTTACTTGGCCACACACGCCCTCCCCACAGGACTCAGCTTCATCCCTGAGAGAGAAGACAGAGCAAGCAGAGGAGAGGGGGAGTAGTCCTGCCTCAGGAGGTCCGTGTGCACCTTACAGGTCCAGGGTTCAATGGCAGACACACCATGATGGAGAAGGCCCCAGAGACAACTGTGTATTCCTGGGAGACTTCTTTTAAATAGAAGCTTAAAGGAAAGAGTCAGAATCCCAGATAGTGACCAAACAGCTTGCTCCAACTTTGCAGATGGACTCGGTGGACTTGAGCTTCCTAAGAAAATGTTTTCAGAAGATGGGGGGGGGCATGAACGACTTTCAGCATCCCTTTCTGTGTCACTTCCTCCTCCAAGTGCTCAAGAGACAGTGCCACACTGTCCTTACCATTGACAGAGCCCTGCTTGAAAGAGGCTAACAACCTTGTCCACCAGCCATGCACAAACTGTGATACCAAGGGAATCAAGTAGGCCTCAAAACACAGCTCTAGAGCATTCCTTCGGCTGGCTGTTCTCAGCCCGGGCCTTCCTTGCCTAGGATTTCCCAAAGAGGACTTTTCTTCTCCTCTTCCTGGTTCTTACATCTCAAAGTAAGGACAGTTCCAACTGGAGGAGTGACTAGCAAAGACAGCATTGACTACAGCACACATCTCAGAACATTTGCTGCTATTTCTGCAGAGCAACAGTTGCCAACTTGCAGAGAAAGATCACACGGTCCCTAGGGGAGTCTCCCAGTCTCAGGTCAAGCCTTGGGGAGAAGGGACCTCTTGCTCCTTATAATGGCTGCACATCCCACAGTGATTTCCTGGGGGTTGGGGGTGCTATATGTCATAGGCAGATTTGTCCAGGACTTAAATCTAGTTAGCCACGCAAAATCACATGAAGTGTTCCACATCCCCTGGATCTTAAAAAGAAAAACAGCTCAGTGACTAGGCCCTGAGACCTCGCTGATGGGGACATGCTTTACAAGGTAGGGCCATATAAATATAAAGGGTGGGCACATTTCCTCTGTCCCCTTAAGCGAAGTCCTCCAGCAGTTTGGCTAAAGAACAACTCAAGGTAGCCAGTACAGGCGGAGAATACAGCTCTCAGTCCAGAAGAGACTGTTGGTTTCACAGAGAGCTGCTCTCATTCTGGACCTGGGGGCCCTGGCAACCCACCCTCACTCCAATGCAAGGGAAGTCCTGGCTGAAAGAGCAATGGACAGCATTTCCAACTCCCTGTTACCTGCAAAGGGAAAACTACTGGGAGATGACACCACAGGGAAGTGGTCCTCTCCAGCCCGTCTCAGGCCATTCCAAATTCCCCCAGAGAGAGACACACATGCCCAACAGCTTTCCAAAAAGCCCTTCATTATAAGCCTAAGTCAGGGGCACACAGACAGGGAAAGTGACCTCAGAAGACCTTCGCTGATGTTACCTGTGAAGGGCTCCTGACAGCTGCTCGGGAACTCCTTCTTAGCCCAACACTTTCTGGATTCTTCACTGAAAACACACACCAATTTGATATTGAAGGCCCTTTACCATTTGCCAAGATCATCTCCACTCCAGCCAAAACTCAGCAGTTTCTGTAGCCTGGATGTGTTCAGGACACCCTTACTTCCTCCCTATTCACACAGCTGCTCTGTCTGAAATGCCTACCTTAATGTCCTAGCTTTCAGCTCTCCTCCTGTATATCCACACACTGTCATTGGCCCTTTTTCCTGGGGCTCTACACCTATTCAAGGAGCAAGAACCTGCCTTAATTCTCCGTTGCCTGCCATGGAACCTAGTCCACAAAGATCACCCACTGAACCCAAGTTAAGCACTGTATCTCTGTCACAATGCCCCAGGGCCCCGTTAGGACATGCTCCAATCTTAGTCTTTTTTCCCTCTGCTCAAATCTCTAGGCCCTATGTGGACCTCGTGAATTTGCTGCTGACCTGTGGGGAAGATGTAAAGGAGGCTGTCACCCGAAGCATCCAGGCTCAGTGTGAACAGAATTGGGGAGGCCTGTGCTCCATTCTGAGTTTCTGCACCTCCAACATACAGAGACCTCCCACTGCCGTCCCTGAGCGTCAGCCCCTGGCAGATAGGGCCCAACTCTCCAGGCCTCAACACCGGGACACAGGCCACCACCTATCAGAAGCCATCAGAGGTGCCAAGGGTGAACGAGGGAGCAAAAGCCACCCAAGTGTCCATGCCCGAAGTGGAGCAGGTGGTCAGAGCGCCCAGGGACCTTCTGGAAGCAGCGAGTGGGAAGATGAACAGACCGAGTATTCCGATATCCGAAGGTGAAATGAACAGCTGGCCATGAAAGCTTTCCTCCCGGCCGTCCATTTTCTTATCTATGGACATTCCAAAACATTTAACATTAAAGAGGGCGATGTCACACGCAGGATATGTGCCAATTGTGGACTTCATGCAGGTGTATGAACAGGTGAGATGGCGACTCCAGGGCCTCAAGGTCTCAGGTGCCTGGTGGATTGGCACCTACTTTAAGCTTTTTCAAGGGAGTGTTGCCTTGAGTCTGCCTTGCAGCTTTGTCCCTTTCAGTCTGTGGGAGCTAGTGGGTGGCTAAGGTGTACTCTGTTGTGGGGGGAGGTCAGATGGGGAGGGAAGGGGCCACACGTCGGTGCTAGGCCCTACCCTACAGTTTCCAGTGCTGTCTGCAGGAGACAGGGCAGGAGAGTGGAGAGTGTAGCTATTAAGGCAAAGGAAGAGCAGAGAGGATGCAGGGCTTAGCTAAGCTATGTTCAGTGCCAAACCGAAGTTTAGTGTCGCGTGGGACCTTGTGTTTCAGAACTGCTAGAAGGGACATGGAATAGTGCATTTTCTGTGTGTCATTTCTGAGCCATTGTTCTGTCTGGGGGGACACTGAAGGAGTGGCCCCTGTCTATTTTGACCACTGCTTCAGATCTCCATCTTTTTTTTTTTTTTAAATTCATTGACATCTATATGCCTGTCATCTAAATAGATGGTTTCCAAACCAAACAACTAGGTCACCAAAACCAGCTCAAAGGAGGAAGAAAACAAACCCCAGCCCATCTCTGGAGGGTAAACTTTTGTAGGGTCTATTTTAAAAAGAGCACTAAACCCCACGTGGGCTTCTACCCACTGGAACAGATGGATACCTAGAAGGGAAAGCACACACCAGGGGCCTTTCCTTAGACTTTGGCTGTCTCAGCTTGACCTCAGCCAATTCCTGGGAGCCTGTACATTGAATCCGTGTGACCAAGTTGGAAACTGGCCTCTGCATGTCAGGAGGGAGGAGAGAGAAAGGCATCAAGACTGCGAAGGAAATTGCCTTCAGGGTTGCCACCCTCTGCATACTTGGGCAAATAGCTATCTCTAAGAGACAGGGCTTTCCACAGCCAAAGTGGAAATTTAGCAACAAGGAAAGAAGTGGGTGGAAGGAAGGCCAAAGGGGAGAGAAGGGACTTGTGACAGCGCAGCACTAAGATCTTCCTCTGGCTGTCATAGTGACTACTTTTGCAGCCAGTACACACAGGAGCCAGTGCTGTAGGAGTATGGGGTATCCTGACTGGGTCTCTAGAGCAAGGCTCAGCCAACTTTTTCTATGAAGGGCCAAGTAGTAATTAGAGAGTTTCAGTTCGGCAAGCCACACAGTTTCTGTTGCCACTAGCCAGCTCTGCCATGACAGCACAAAAGCATCCTCTGCCGCACAAATGGGAGGGCTTGGCTGTGTTCCACTAAGATTTTCTTCAGCAGGCACCCAGCGGGACTTGGCTCACAGACCACGCATACATAGCATGTTCCCTGTACTAGGGAACGAGATGAAATATATGCATTCTGCCTTCCCCAGCTACTCTAGTTCTCCCTGGAAGGCCCCCGAGGCCAGAGACAGCCACATTTCTCTAAACACTTCCCCAAACTCGGCTGGTGTCTCTACATGCAGGATCCAATCTCAATCTCATAAGCTATGCTTGAAAAAAGAGGAGGGGTGGGTTCATGACACGCTGGGAAACCTCCAGAAAGCTATGGGAGCGTAGAGGGGCTGTACTTTTAATCCAGTCCTGCCGGAAGGAAGGAGGCCCGGCATGCCAGGTTCTGCACGTCGACTGTGGCACTCTTGTGTCATGTGCCTCTGTGGCACCTTGACTGTCCTCTGCTTATGTCACTCACATTCTCCTTCATTCCTGGCTCAGCTGCTCATTTGTCACCAGTGTCTGGACTGGGTTCATCAGTGTCTTGTGTTCACCTACTGATGTTCCTTTTGTTGTTTCTACTGTAAATATTTGTCGTTTGTATTTATTATCTCGGTGTCTTACCCCAAAAGGCATAAACACACTTCATTCAAACCCACCAACTGATCTCTGTTGTGTATTTCCATGCCTTTGCCCCTCCAAAAGTTTTTTTTTTTTTTTTTAAAGGCATTTCAGGGTCCCTCAGGTGATTAGAAACACAAAATGTATTTATCTCTTGAGTCCTTTTGCTCAAAATTGTCCAAATTCTTGTGTGCCTCATGAAGGCATTCGAACAATCTAAATGTAAGCAAGGCAGCTGTTGAAAACAGTCCCTCCTCAGGCTTCATCCTTCATACACATTTACTCAGGAGCCTTCCTGAGAGGAAGGATGTGGATCTCCAAATAAAGTTGCAGTGTTTATTTTGAGCTTCGAATCTTAACGAGATGATCTGAACACCTCTCCTTTGTATCAATCAATAGCCCTGTTATTCTAAAATGAGAGGGCCAAAGACAGCAAAACGCTGACAGCCCAAAACTGAGTGATGAGACATCAGCCTAGAACTGCAGTCAGTCCTTACACACGAGCTGAAGCTCTGAACCTGGCAAATGGCATCTCGGAAACATGGAGACAATGCTGCTGGCACCCACTTCCTAAGGAAGAAATGTACCACGTGGGCTTACTAAGTCAGCGTCTGCTTCTGTTACAGAGTTAGGCAACAGGGCCTGGACACTGTCACACTGTGTTGTTTTCCTTCAAGCATTAATAAAGATTTTAAATAAATGGCTTGCACTTGAGCAGTGTTATTTTTGAGGCACTTTGATATGAGGTGCACAGGAAGATAACTGTGAACAGGAGGGCTGTTGACATTGCTTATACTTCATACTTGTGGGAGAGAAGCCAGGTGAAGAAGCCCCATCCCGCCCCTCAGGACTTCCTCATCCCAGGAACTCTGGCCAAGACCCCTCCAGAACCACCAACACAAAGAGGAAAAGGAAGTCTCTGCCACTGGTCTAGAAATACCACCCTCATCCCAACTAGCTTCTCAAAGCTCACTCTGCTGTCACCTTCCAATGCCACCTGTTCTTTCAGACTGGGGCTGCAGCCCCTGCCATTGGCTCAATCACTCAATGGCTTGGAACGTGCTGGGTTGCTCACACCCTCCTTTACAACACTTGAATACCACTGCAAAGCAACACTGGAGTTGTTCCTCACTACGGTTTTCAGAACCATAGTGCCTACACCGTATGCCAGGCATCCCAGTGGATATCCAGCAAGCATTACCTCATCCTGAGTCCCACAGTCTCGATTACTGTCCCCATTTTGCAGGCAAAACAGCCCAGGTGGGCCAGCAAATCTCAGCAAGTAAAAGGCTCTTGTCAAGCCTGATGACCTGAGTTCAATCCCTGGGGCCCTCCTGGTGGAAGTAGAGAACCAACTACTGAAAGTTGTTTTCTGTTGTCCTCATGTGCACTGTGAAGTAGGGTGGGGGTGCTTCGATAGATACACACACAAATAGCAAACAAGCAAATATAAATGTTTTAACTCGAAGAAGAGAAAGAGAATCCCAGGTATAGATAGATAAACAAGTGGTTAGAGAGCAGGAGCCTGAACTCCAAACCAGATGGGGCCTCCTAGGCCCCCCCGCCCTGCACAAGGCCCAGGGAAAGAATAAATATACTCTTGTATGTATAGCACCAGCCTTGACAGAATTTCAATGCAGAGCAGGAAAAAAAATGGATGCTCTCGCCTTTGCTTCCTACAGAGACTGAAGGGCTGGTTGACACAGCCAGACGTGAGCAGGAGGATGCAGCTGTGTCATGCATCCAAATGTGGATGATTTCCTAAATGCCTCCCTACACACACAGGCCACTGAAAAAAGCAGCTAGGGGGCAGCTGACTAGTGTGAACATACAATGAGGGTTTCCTCCATCAAACTCACTCCAAGACCAGTTCTATATGAGGATCCAGTCATCCTCAACATGGCAGGTGCCAAGTCTTGAGGGTCAGTTGTATGCCCTTAATCCTGCTGATGCTTAGCTGATGTCATGTCCAAACCCAATTTACAGATAAAGAAACTGAGGTTCAACCACATTGTGCTATGTCCCATCTCAGGACGAGGCCACCCAGGTCCTAGGTGACATGCAGACCATGTACTCCATCTAATACTGTCTCTCATCCCAGGTATGAGTACATGACTTTAATGCACACAAATGAATTCAGATAGACAGCTGCCTCCCTAAACCTCATGGTTGGATTATTAAGCTTGGGGAGATAGAAAAGCAGAGAGGCCTCAAATATGCCTGGGTCTAAACAAAGTTCCCCAAGGGATATGGAGACACACCCCAAAATCTGGAGAGAGAAATCTGAATTTGTGCTGAAGTCAACAAAAAAAGAAAGTCCCCTGCTGAGGAGGGGACAAGCCTTGGCTAGAGAACAGCTTTTGTGTGAATTATTTTTTTGTGAGTGAAGAAGAGAGAAGCAGCCTTGGACTGGAGTCCCATGTTACTGCCTGCATAAGCAGTTTATTTATCACTCCACAAAAGAAAAAAAAAAAAAAAAAAAAAAAACCCACCCCCCAAAGAAAAGCCACAGAGCCAACTTGAATTAATGCCTGAAATGGATGCCAACACCATGTACCCTGTCACTTGACAGGACCCAGACTCCACGGCTCCTTCGGGTCTACATATAGCCTTCACTGAACATCAGATGTGCCTGGGTGAGCTACAACTTGGGGGAAAGGAGAAATGCTCCTCTGAGGAAGTCTTGGAGGATGGCAGCTTCCCAACAGTGGTCAGAAGAATCGTCAGTCGGTCCTGTTTCCCAACTCGTAGGGTCCAGAAAGTTTTATGATTCTGAAATTAAGGAGGGGAAGGAGCATGCAAAAAGAAGAGCGATGCTAAAGGGGCCACCCCTTGCCCTCCTGACTAGCAGTGACTGCGAGAAGGGCTGAGGGGCAGACAGAAGGTGCAGTCCCTAGAATTCTTGCTCATGCCTCAGCTGTAGATATCAGACAGATAGTCTGATTGGTTTATCATTCTGTGGGTCAGAAACTTGGAAGGAGTTCATCTGGGCAGTTAGACTCTTCCCCTGGCATTGCCTGGGGTGATGAATGACTGGAGGCTCCACCCGGTGCCTTGATGCTCCCATCCCATCCCTTCCTCTGCTCCTCATCCTCCAAGGCCTCTCAGAACATGGCTGCTTCTGGATAATTTTCCTCTTCCACAGTAACTGCCTACTCCCAAGACAGGTTAGTGGATTTTACAGCATTTTCTTCAAATCCAAACTGTGGTACTACAGTAACCACAGGGACTAAATGCCATCAAGACAGAATCTATTTCACGTCACTAATTTTGCAGTTACTTGTATGAAAGAATGAATGATAGAGCTTTTCTAGAACTGCCAAAATTTCCAATCAAGAAAGTTTCAGCTCCTAACACAATGCCATGATGCTTTCGGGTAGTCTTACTTTGCTGGGCTAGAATTTTTCAGATGTGGTAGAAGGGATGAAGACATAGTTTCATGGGAAAGGCACCTACTGCCAAGCCAGACAACCCGCTTTTGATCCCCAGGACCCACACAGCAGAGGGAGAGAATTAACTCTTACAAGTTGTCCTCTGGGGTGGTGGTGGCACACACCTTTAATCCCAGCACTCAGGAGGCAGAGGCAGGCAGATCTCTGTGAGTTCTAGGATAGCCTGATCTATAGGACAGGCTCCAAAGCTACAGAGAAGCCCTGTCTTGAAAAACAAAACAAACAAGTTATCCTTTAGCTTCCACACCCATTCATATGTCCACACCTATGCACAATAAATAAGCAAGCATGTAACTAAATAAATTAAATTACTAGGAGTAACTACTTTGGAGCTAGGAGACACAGACAAGGGTACCAGTCCAGCCACACACTCAACCAGAACCTCTGAACAAACCACAGAAAAATAAATAAGAGCTTGAACAAATGAGGACTGACTAGGAGGCTGGCCTGACAAATCAGTTGAACTTTCTAGGTCTGTTTCCTCAGCTACTCCCATCTACCTCCTTCCCAAACAAGGCAATGTGATGAAAATGACCACCACTATGAAAAGTCACAGTTCACAGGAAATGCTTTAAACACAGTGGAAATCCACAGAAAGGGTACCTCTCGTTTCTCTGGGCCATCTTGGAAGGCTGAGGCCCTGCCTTGCAGTCTGTCCTACTGTCCATTCTCAAAGGTGGACTACAAAGTCATTGAGAGACAGAGGAAAGGGACAGTGGCCCACAGTGGACATTCACTGAAAGTGGGCATGAAGGGTTGAGGACTTACTAAGTGTGGACTCTGAATAAATCCCAGTCCCACGCTAGGGCAGCAAGCAGGCTCAGAGTAGCTCGACCATGCTGGGCATTCACAGGCCACTAAGGAGACTTTGTGGCAGCTCAATAGGACAGCATGAGACATTGCTGGGAATGAAGTCTTTTCTCCAGGCCCTCCTTAGAAACATTAGGGCAGGGTCCTTCCGGCTTAGCCAGCTCACAAGCCTTCTCTGTGAGATGGGAAAGCTGAGACCAGCAAAGACTGGAGGAAACAGATTAGGGTCAGAACCCACTCTGCCCTCAGCCAGGGTTCCTAAGAGTTTGACATTTGGAAAAGATTTGGCCCAGAGGAGCCAAGGATTTGGGGCAGGGCTCCTTCCGGCTCCGGGAGTGTCAGGAGGAGGAGGAAGAAAGTGACTCAGCTGAAGAGAAATGTATTTTTAAAAAGCAAACTGATGAAGGCACAATGGCACAAAATGTAACCCAGGACATGGTCCAAATACTTCCTCAGAGAAAGCGGGTGAGTTTCCAAAAAACCAGAGAACTCGCTCAGGTTTCTAAACCAAGAATAACACCAGGAAATGAAGACAGCCTTCTGGGCTAGGCAGGCCCCCAGTCCCTGGAAGCCTCCTCAGCCACAGCCCCCAAAGGGCTGGTGTCCACTTCAGATGGAAAATTGATGAGTGTCCCCAGGACACAGGCCACACTGCCCAATATGAAAACAGTTGAGTCCCCAACAACTGTTGCAGTAAACAGAAAGTGGCCAACACTCTCCTCACAGGACAAAGACAACAATGGACCCACTGAAGACAATGTAACTGACAGGGGAGCTGGGGAGAAAGGGACAGCTCTGTTCCCTTCCAAGAGCCAAGATCAGGTGACCTGGAGGAGTGATGAAGAGTAAGAGAGCTCAGGTTGAACATCTCAGCATCTAGCCAGTCAGTGCTAGATTCAGGCTAGATTCCTACCTCATCCTGAGTGGAGCCCCATAGAAACTCACGTGTCCAAAACATAATGCAGAGGAGGGCACAGGACAATTTGTTAAAACCTAGCTTCCTTGAAGGATGAGGAGGTGTCTTCATTCGTCTGTGGCAAAGTGTCCTACTGGGACAGAAAATGGGAATGTTCAGGGACCTTGGGCCCCTAGACTCCGAATCATCAAAGTGTCTCAAAAAAGGACACCATTTTGATGACCACTTCATTTTGTTTTAATTTTTTTTTAATTAGACTACAAGGTAGAGGTAATCCTGTGGCATTGCCATGTCTGTGACTCCATCAGAGTTGTCAGACCCAGTGAGGGCTTTGCCTCATGGTGGCAGCAGCTATGAAGAAGAAGTGGGGCTGGCCACCCTTGACGCCCCTTCCTACCAATCATGAATGTCCTCAGCTTCCATTACCAGCCACTGCTCTTCACACAGATACCCTCCATACTTCTACTCCCAGGCTCAGGGCCCCCAAGCTGTGAGGTTAGAGGCCCCTGAGTGCATTACTCA